ATCAGTTTGCTTGGAGGGACACGAAAAGAGCTTTCAGTCATAAGGACATAAGAGGCGCCCATGCTGGATCAGGCCAAAGGCCCACCCAGTCCAACACTCTCTGTGTCACACAGTGGCCAGAAATACCAGGTGCCCTCAGGAGGTCCACCAGTGGGGCCAGGACCCTAGAAGCCCTCCCACTGTTGCCCCCCCCCAAGCACCAAGAAGACGGAGCATCCCTTGCCCGAGACTGAGAGTTCCTATCTATACCTTAAGAACATAAGAGAAGCCAGTGTTGGGTAAGGCCAATGGCCCATCCAGTCCAACACTCTGTGTCACACAGTGGCCAGAAATACCAGGGGCCCTCAGGAGGTCCAGCAGTGGAGCCCCGGACGGGATGTACTAAAAGGAAGGACAGGATTGCCCATTGGAAACAAGGGGAGACGCTGGAAGGCCCACTGGAAATAATGGGAGCCAGGAATACCAATTGACTTCCATGGGCTCCATTGAAATACATTACAGTACAAGCAGAGTTGCAAAGAAAATGCGGAATGGATTTTCCATTAGGGTCTCGAGGCCCTACTCTGGGACTGGAATGACAGCCCCTAGAGGCAGCAGGAGTATTCTGGGACTGGAATGACAAGACCCAGAGTGGAATTGACAATGGAGGAGGTGGCTCACATCAACCTCACAGAAAGGGAACATGGAGGTCAGGAAGGGAGCAGAACTGGACACTAGAACAGGTGGAGGGACAAGTGCAAGATTTATAACTTCCAGGACTCCAGAAGCCCTGCCACGGTTGAACCACCCCCCCCCCAGCACCAAGAAGACAGAGCATCCCTTGCCCCAGACTGAGAGTTCCTAAGAGCATAAGAGAAGCCAGTGTTGGATCAGGCCAATGGCCCATCCAGTCCAACACTCTGTGTCACTCAGTGGCCAAAAATACCAGGTGCCCTCAGGAGGTCCAGCAGTGGGGCCAGGACACTAGGAGCCCTCCCACTGTTGCCCACCACCCAAGCACCAAGAATACAGAGCATCCCTTGCCCCAGTAATAGAAGCCAATGTTGGATCAGGCCAGTGGCCCATCCAGCCCAACACTCTCACACAGTGGCCAAAAAATACCAGGTGCCATCAGGAGGTCCACCAGTGGGATCAGGACACTAGAAGCCCTCCCACTGTTGCCCCCCCCAAGCACCAAGAAGACAGAGCATCCCTTGCCCCAGAGCTAGAGTTCCTATCTATGCCTTGGGGCTAATAGCCACTGATGGACCTCTGCTCCAGATGCTTATCTAATTCCCTTTTGAAGCCGTCCATGCTTGTAGCCGCCGCCGCCGCCACCTCCTGCAGGTCGAGAAAGAGGTACTTTTCTCCCTTTCTCACAATACGGAGAGGGGGGGAAAGTCGCCTTCCTCCGGTCTGCGGAGGCTGAAGAACGGCTGCATCTCTCCCTTCCACTGATCTAAAGAATGGCTTCATTGGGAAAAACCCTCCCCCCAATTGCACTGACCTGCAAAATGGTCTTGGGAAGCAGGGCCGCCCGGGGGACCCCACCTCCGACCCACTGCAAGGAGGAGCGCCTCCCCGGCCCCGCTGAAGGCAAAACCACTCCTCCTCCCGGCTCACTTCCTCAGAGACAGCTGCTCGAGGCAGCTCATCCCCTGCCTCCAAGGTCTGGCATCCGAGAGCGGGGAGGGACTCCCCACCAGTGTTCCCTCTAAGCCGAGTTCGTGTGAGCCAGCTCACAGTTTTCTAGCCTCCGGCACACACATTTTTGCCTTCGCCCAGGAAGGAAGGCTCCAGGGCAAACTCATTGATGCAGGAGCCAAATGGCTCGCTCACAATTTCAATGCCAGTAGCTCAGAAAGTAGAATGTTTGCTCACAAGATTCCAGAGCTTAGAGGGAACATTGCAGTCCCCACCTAGAGATGTAAAATTTCCGGAAATTTTGAAGCTCGGAAAAAAACCCGTTTTTTCCCCGGTTTTTTTCGGAAAAAAACGGAAATTTTCGGAAAAATTGAAAAAAAATGCTACATTAGCATTTTTTTGTCTTTTCTAGATTGAAAGTCATTCTGTTACTTTAGGAACATAAAATATGACTATGGACATTTTTACTTGGCATGAAATTATCACAACTAGCATATTAAAAATATAGTGTATCCAAACAATTATTACAAACAGAATACCCACCCACATGCAAAAACAAAACTGAAACCTTTTTATTGTCTTCTGACAATAGCACCTCCTAAAGGAAGAAATGCATTGTCCTTAGTGCACAGAAATTAGATCAATCTGATACCATATATATATATATTAGAAATGATTTGGAAAATATTTGAACACCTTGTCTTAAAGTATTTTATTCATCATGTTAAAATAAAACGTTCCATAATCAATTTTTTTTCTTTTCTTTTCTTTTTCAATTTTTCCAGGCTTCAGGAAAAAAACGGAAAAAAACCGTTTCCCCCCCGAATTTTTCCGGTTTTTTTCCGGGACTTCACATCTCTAACCCCACCCTGCCTGGAGGGCGCTCCCGGACTCTCGCGCTTTTAGACGGCTATGGGCCGCGGCCACCCAGCTTTCCCCCGCGATGCTGCTTCAAGGACAGGAGGCTTCAGGAAGGACTCTGCACGGGTCCTCCCCGCCCCCTCGGAGAACCGACCCGCTGCAGCAGCGCCTTTCCCCGGCCACGTCTGGTGGCCGCGCGTGGGAAGGGCGAACGGGGAGGCCGCGGGGAGGTCGGGGGCGGAGCCGGGAGGAGGCGGTGGGGGGGGAGCCTGCGGGCGGCCATTTCTCTTAAAGGAGCGCCTGCCCAGTTCCCTTGGAGCCAAAACCCCTCCTCGCGCCTCGTCTTTACAAGTGGATAAATTGAACCTTTATGCCTGCCGTATTTTATGCTCGATATTTGGGTTTATAAACGCCTTAAGGTGGCAAGGTAAGGTAAAGGTAAAGCCAGTCGAGTCCGACTCTGGGGTTGCGGTGCTCATCTCCGTTTCCAAGCCGAAGAGCCAGCGCTGTCCGAAGACGTCTCCGTGGTCATGTGGCCGGCATGACGAAACACCAAGGCGCACGGAACGCTGTGACCTTCCCACCGAAGTGGTACCTATTTATCTACTTGCAATGTCTTGCTTTCGAACTGCTAGGTTGGCAGGAGCTGGAACTAGAGACGGGAGCTCACTCCGTCATGCGGCACACTCGGGTCTCGAACCTCCCACAGCCTGCAGTTCAGCGTCTTAACCACTTGAGCCACCGCAGCTCCGAAGGGGAAAAGGGGAAAAGTCGGATCTAAACGGATCCTCATGAATTCATATGATTTTTACACTGAAAGGTCCTAAGGTGGCAAGACCCAAGTCCTATTCCAAAAAGGAAGATAGATCACTGCTGTATCTAATAGTAAACTACCTCTAATGTCTAATAAACTACACCAGACATCCGATTTGACATCTGGATCTGATTTGAAATCAGATATCTGTTTTTGCACAGTATTTTACTTATTTTATTCTGTGTAAGTTGTCGTTCTAACGTTGTTTTAATGGTATTATATTAATTGCTGTAAACCGCCCTGAGCCTGTTTACAGGGAGGGCGGTATATCAAACAAACAAACAAATGAAGGCGTCTTTCCTCATTGTGCCAAGTGCCCCTGGAGACAGGAGGCCTGATCCAGTAGCGGTTCCGTTCTGCGGAAGATCCCTGTGACCCTCCCCGCAGGCCGGCCTGACTTCGCCGGTCGCTCCGCCGCCAGCACTTTCCTCGACGAGCGCCCGGCCGGCCCGGCTTCTCCCGGAGACTGGTGACGCGCGCGCGGGCGCCCTCCCCATTGGCTGTCGCGGGAAGGCGGAGAGAGGGGGGCTTTCCGAGCTGGACGGCACGGGGGGGGGGGTTTCGGGGACAAGCGCGGGGAGCCGCTCGGGAGACCGCGGGGAG